CATATTTTACCTCCCAAAACATTTCTACATTGCAACTCTTCGTTATGGGCAATTCTTTAAAAGCCTCCAGCAATGAGTTAACGACATGACGTGGTCGGTCGTATCGTTCAACCACGCGTTCTCGTGCAATATTATATGCCGCGTCTGTAATTTGCAAATGAAGTATTAAACTTGCTGCTTCATTGGTCAAAAAAGATTTTAAATAATGAAATTATTGGGTTTTCCCAAATGTTGTTTATTGTGCTTAAATGCTGACTATTCCTTGTAATCGCCACCAAAATATTTGCCATTGCATTCAGATTAGCAACCTTCGTTGTTGTTGCATAATTGTTGTTGTTCTGAATTGCGTGCCGAAGTCTTCAAGTACTTGTTCTCATATACTTTATTGTCGCTGGCAGGATCGACATACCCTTTAATCGTTTCAAACAATCCGCTCGAACTCAATCCAAACGGCATTGCGCCTGGTAAGCATTGCCTCCACAGCGTCATAGTCGCATCCAGCTGGAGGTGATCAGCACAATGAAGCAAGCGTGTAAGACTTTCCTTCAATCTGCCTCTGGTTTGTACCTAGTGCTTAATTTACTCCATTCTTAAGAGTAATAGATTACGGCTCGAATTGCAAATTTAATGAAGAGCAATAACACAAGCGTTATCTTTAATAAATTTTATTTTATAATAATAATAATAATAATAATTTATATTTATTTTTTTGGACCACCATCGGCTCGTCGCTAATGATCTGCCATTAATTTAGTACTACTTTTATGCAAACAAGATGAACCTACCAGTTGAATTGAATTGAATTTCTTAATGTTGAGATAGAATGTCAATGAAAAAGGAAATAGAAAAATCTTTTGATTTTGAATGGATCCGTTCCTCAACAAGTGTATTGCCCTTTCTGCTTGTTTGAAGCAAATCGGATGCAACTTAAAACTTCACCAAATATATCTTAGAAACACACTTTCCACGGAGGAAGCTTTTTTTCCGAAAAATGCGAATCACGTCTCAAATGAATTTTCATATAGAGCCTTGGAAATTAATTTGTGCGCGAAACATCACCCACCAAATCATTGACCCCCATTTTCACCAAGGATTTTCGCGATTTTGCCACATGTGGAATTTCCCAAAACCGCGTCTTAACGTGCACCTTTATCACATAAGGTAATTATAGTAAAAATTTTAGCTTTCTAGCTCTTAGTGCTTGGGATGTGCGCTGTTCACCAATCAGTCAGTCAATAAGGCAGTCAATAAGTCAGTCATTCAATAAGTCAGTCAGTCAGTCAGACATTCAATCAGTCAGGAGAACAGTTTTGTATATAAAGATAAACATTTTGTAAATCTACCAAAATATAACGTATCCACAGTACTTCCCTTAAAACCTTTTAATTTTTTTTTAATTTTTTTGCAGCATCCCGATCAACTTTATAAGCACACAAACTCAAGCATTAGTTTTCTATTAATCTCATCAATAAAGAGTCCCAAATATTTTTTATTTAGGCAGTGAGCACTTACCCTGCCTGCCTTTTGATGGCCAAAATTGCTGGCCGATTCCTCGCATACTCAATAAAAAACAAAAATAAATAAAAAAATCATTTGATTTTATATTATATATATAAGCGAATCTGTGTTCATGTAATTTAATTTTACATTCTTTTCCCATACTCAGCGTTATTAAGTTATTTGGAACAAACTTATTGCAAAGCAAATGATAAGCTTTGATAAAAGTGTTGAGAATTTTAAGCTTTGGCTTTGGAAAGAAGCGTCACCCTTCTCTTTAATTTGAAACCATAACTTAGACATTGTTGAAGAATTTTATAGTGCATAATATAAGTTTTCTAATCACACAAGTCACCTTAAAACTTTTCAATATTTGCTGATGTTATTATATATGCTATTATATGGATGTTTCCGTCCATTTCAATAATATAACCATATTTCGAATCGATTGCGATTTTTAAAACAACAACAGAACACTTTTTATTCAGACCCTCCCTATGGGCGAGGCTGAGACATTGCCCAACTATTCAGATTATTAGCATATAAATACATTAGAAACGAAGAGTCTTTGGATGAATCGTATGATAAAAGATATATATTACTGGCCCGCGTATAAGGGTAAGAGCACTCTATTAAGCCTCCACGAATACCTGATTGAACAAATTTATACAGATCTATATCTGTAATTCTATTTTCGTAGACTTTAACATTGAATCCCACAATAAACCAGGTTTTTGTAAAAGTTGGGTCAAGATAAAATATTTCAAAACAGAGCGATCTACATTTTTCAAAACCATCAACCAACAAAATCACATCAGCTTTTAAGAATAGCTTTAAATATACGTTTAGGGTTGTACAAGAAACATCATTCCATAATTTATCTGCATGAGCATTGTTCTCCTTATAGCATTCTATTTGAGTTAACGACCTGAAGAATGCTTCTCTTGGTGGAATAGAGGTTTCTTCGAGTTTTTATTATACTAAATAAATCTTAATTATAGGTACTATCTCGCTCAAATATTTATCATATATTTTTGGTAAATTATATAATCTACATTTGGTTCATGTTCATGTTAATTTAGGACTTAATTCTATATTCGTTGAAGAACGCACTCAAAATACGCATAAACTACAAATGATACTTGTAATGGTTTTTGATGATTCTAGAACTTGGGGAGTGTTCAAAACTCTCCCATTACACACCTCTTTCTGATGTAGTGCCACCTGCTCATGCATTTAGAATAGTTCAGGCATATATTACAAAACCACTGCCTTCACTTTGAGGGAGAAAAGCTTCACCTGATTCACTTTTGAACAACTCCCTCGTTTAAATATACAACAATACACATCCCACCGACATCTTTTTATGATGATATTAATACGTACATGATGAAAGTTAGACTGAAGATTACATTATGTTTGACTATTCTTGATGATGATTTCTTCTTCACACTTAACGTTATTTTTATTTTCACTTCTCACTAATAAAGTTTTTGATAACTTCGCACCATTTGCTCTAGAGTTTATGTGAATAAATCTTCTTTTACAATTTTCTAATGAATAGAAGACAAGGTTCAAAGACACAGAAACCCCTGCTCTCAAAACCGGTCACATTTGACGTTACAAGCGTGTAAGCGCACAACAACAACAACAGTGGCCAAAAGTCACAGGTCAACTCCTAACAAGCGTGGAAACACAACAGTGGTCAAAATTCAAGGTCACCATACCATAACATCTATTTTCACATTTGCTTTCGCATTTTAGCACAGGGAGACAAAAATAAAAACGCCCACCGTTTAAACCGACTTCACATATGAGCTTTTTACGATTTCCATTGAGTTAGCCTAATACTCCACTTCAAAGTGTTCGAGTTCATAGAGCCAGATGCATTTGGTGTCGGTAGAAGAAACCAGGGTATCTTCTAGTCGGTCACTTCCGACTAGAGCACTCATACTTGTTACACAATGGGTTGCTCCGAACGAACCATAGTAAATGGAATTGCTATTGTAATTCAGTATATTTTCTAAGTTCAGTATTGACGAAAGCCTAGGCCCCGATATGAAACAATTTAGGATCACAAAATATTCATATACTTCTCCAGAGCCTACTCAACTGTTCAAACTACTGGCTACCAAATTGTTATCTCGGATGCATCTCTGAATAGTTTCCACACAATAAGAGGTCTTTTGGGTTGTTCCGGTAATGATAAGTACTCGCTTCTATTTGTTTTTATTTTTTCATCAAAAATTATTAATGTTTCCAAAATAATCCAATTGGCACGTCCTTTTTATACAAATATTTATTATCAAACATATTCAGTTTTATCAATACTGATGGACTGATTGAGAACCTAGTTGATACATCCGATCTAAAACATACTTGATAGAGGTTATTTAAACACTATATATATAAATTATTTATGTAACTACATAAATTATGAAAAGCAAAAATAATAATAACATTTCAAATATTTCAACAATTTTTACAGACTTTCGTCATTGTCAAACTATTTTATACCTGATGATGGGGATGTGCAATCGTATCTGGATCAAATTCAAATGTGGCCCAGCTTCGACAAGCCCGATGCATTTGGTCAACATTCCAATGCCGACATTGCATCACTTATTGGAGAGACGCGCATGCTTTTTACGACACTACTTTCAATGCAAGTTCAATCGTCAGGTTCAGTCAGTGCGGAGAACGCTGAAAATAAAGTTTCTGACTTAGCTAAGGATATATTGATTAACACACCTGATGAAATAAACTACGAGCAGACTGCTAAGATAATTGGAATAATTCGCACACCTTTGGAGGTCGTATTACTACAGGAAATAGAGCGATATAACGCTCTTTTGGACGATATGCGAACTCAATTACGTAATTTACGACGTGGAATACAAGGTTTGGTAGTTATGAGCTCTGACTTGGAAGACATATATACAGCTGTATCCGACGGCCGTGTGCCATTTCAATGGCTTAAAGGTACGTATTATGGCTACAATTTATATCGTTTGTTTACATTTTAGCTTAAACCACAGCTTATAATTCGCTTAAGCCTTTGGCTGCATGGGCACGTGATCTTACATTTCGGGTGTCACATTTCAATACCTGGGCCAAAACTCTTCGTGCACCCACGCTTTTTTGGTTATCGGCATATACCTTTCCAACTGGATTTCTTACAGCCGTATTGCAAACTTCAGCCCGTGCAAGCAAGACTCCTATCGACGAATTATCTTGGGAGTTCTTTGTTTTTGTTGAAGAGGACGCAAATGCCACTCGCATCATTCGCGAAGGAGGTGGCGCGTACGTTCACAATTTATATCTTGAGGGTGCTGGCTGGCTTCGTAAAAACCAATGCCTTCAAGATTCATTACCAATGGAACTGATCTGTCCTTTACCAGTTATACATTTCAAGCCAGTGGAAAATCTTAAAAAGAGATCACGTGGTATATACCATTGCCCCGCCTATTACTATCCCATTCGATCTGGATCATTTGTTATAGCCATTGATTTAAAATCTGGTGTTGAAAAGCCTGAATATTGGATCAAGCGTGGTACAGCTATCCTACTGAGCTTAGCTAACTAGGGATTTATAGAAGTAAAAATAACTTATAATCAGATTTTCTAAATTCATAATATATTGAAACAGGCTGCTTAACTATGTAATAACAATGTATTACATAGATATGTTAATTTTCTGAATAAGTATTCATATAATAAAACATAAAATAAACTTGTTTCTTCAATAGTTTCTGAAAATGTACGGGGAGATGGTGGGGTGGGGAGGGGGGGTCTAATGCGCGAATGGATATGAGAATGTGGATCGTTCATCGACGGGAGAACGTGGATTTGCCAGTCGGCAAAGCGCCATGAGTTGGGTTTTCAACTACTTGCGATAAACTAAACATACTAAAAAGAAATTAATCGGGGCCTTAACTAGATTCCTGAGTCCAGCATCATTATCTGGTTTCCACCATGGATGGAGGTGCGATGCGTGAAACGAAGGGGGAGGCGTGTGAAAGTGCTTCCAAATTATTATATTCGATATGAGATTTTGGAAGCCACTTTGCTAATTCGATAGGAGTTGGCCATATGCTGGAATTTGTGGATTATGCAATCTTGGCGACTCTATTAGCCACAAATGTCGTTCATTTGCATGGTGGCTTGCTGGGCCCGGCTAGAACTATTGTTAATGCGGTCCACCAGAAAAGCTCCTGTCTTTTGACATACAGCTGTTTATAGGAGTGCTGCGGACAGTTCCGCAAGCCTCACAACTGTAAGCGATGAAGGGAGATGGTCTTCACAGGAGCGACCCTTGTTTTCGCTGTCAGCAGGTGGACTGAAACATCATGCGCACTTTAAATCCGGGTCTAATTTGCTGCTCGTAAGCGCTCTTAGACGTATCGCAAAAACCATGGAACTGCAACTTGGTCTAAGGGAAGATTGAACTCATCTGGGGATGCGTATCTGATTGAAAGTTGCACAAATCTCAAGGAATTCTTGCCATCTTTGTAGGAGTTGGCTTATCAAGGATTGGTCCCAACCCAGATCATGAAGCCAGATATCTTGCATGAAGATCTTGGCACAGATTTGATTTGCCTCTCGAAGAGGTGTCTGCTTTCTAGCATATACTGAGAGTCTTCGCAAGGCTAGCTTCTTTAATCTCCAAGAATGGAGTAGATGCTCCCTCCAAATATTAATGAAATAAGCCTTTTGCTTAGAGTTCCATTTGCGCAATAGAAGTCCAGCAGTGCCCAGAGCTCGGACGGCACCCTGCAAGCACGTCGTCGACGTACATAAGATTGGAAATGATGTCAATCGCCGAAGGATATTGTGAGCGAACGAACCCGAATCACGAGGAAGGAGGCACAGTTGACACCAAAGGTGACGATGTTGAGCTCATAATCACAGAGCTCATCTCACTGTTCCGGTAGAGGATTCTTTGAAATGGGGTGTTGTTTGTATGAAGGACACCGTTCCGACTTTTCCTATTTGAGGAAGAACTGGAAGAGCTAAACACAACTCGAATCTTTGTGGTGGTGCGGTCTGGTTTAAATACAGCGTGATGAGGGAGAGTCGTTATTGGAGTCGTTACTAGGAGGGACTTGTTTCATATGATCCAAGTCTAGGTAATCCTTGATCACGGAGTCGTACTGCTCTTTTAGCGGAACGTTTCTTATTAAACGACTTTCGTTTCTCAGAAACTGAGCAAGTGCGATGGACCTCGAATGTCCCAAGTTTATGTGATCAGGATTTTTGCAGAATAATATATATCTGCCTGTCTCATCCCTTTTGGTGGTACGAGAAAAGTTATTTTCGCATATGGAGTCTGAATCTTTTGTCAGTTTGGCCGGCAAATCTTCCACCTTCCAAAACTTAGTGAGAAGATCATCCAAAAGTGGTTCGGGCTGACCGAAATCCTTGTGGAAAAGGACAAAATTCTCGCGGCATTCGACTTAACTACTGGGCCAGTCTGGACCCAACCGAAGATGGTCTCCATGCCCAGTAACGAACCGCATATATTAGATTGTGTGCCGCCGAGGAGGATTGACGGGATAATGTCTGCTGTTGTGTATTCATACATATAAATCCAATCAAATATAACTTAACTTGTAAACCTTTGTTGTAAGTATAAATAAACCTAATTATGCCTAACATAAAGTTGACCGTATTTACGTATGTACATACTCAAGTACATGCATACATATAGTCTGCGCATATAAATAATATGAAGCCACTTGACACATAGCTAGCGTGGGACCGTTGGCCAACGGGAAACGCTGCGCTTGCACTTTAGCCACTCTCTGATTGAGTACCCAAATATATGAGTACACTCGTTTTCTCTCTTTGTAGCTGTTAACCGATAATTGCTAAAGTTTATATATAGGCTAAGAACATACCTGAACACAATAAATTCATTCTGAAAATAAACCAGCACAGACGTGCATGATATATTATTATAATAACCTGGCGACCGTGACACAGCAGCAGCAGCAAACTATTAATACGCCAAATTCAATGGAAACAGCAATACGCCGAGGGAAAACAACGGCAACAATGACTACGTCGATGGAAAAACGAAATGTTCTGAGTGAGTAAGGTGTTATAAAATGTTTAATAATATTGTATGACGACAACTATGTTGTGTGGATCAAGGTAGAGTATGACCTAACAACTTATACGCCATATTAGGCAGGAAACGGGACATGTAAAATCTTTATATTTCTTTATATTTCTAAACTAAATTATAACCAATTCAAATACGTTAAAAATTACAAATATTTATTTAAAAAAAAAAATTCTTGATAATTTGAAAAAAAAAATGTTAATACGAATAATTTCAAATAAAATGGGCTCAAATGGGTCAAATTTGAAAGTCGGCATACATAAATGTCATAAATACTGTCAAAATAATCGATAATAGAGAAAGCTTAGAAGATATTATAATTACACTAATAATAATAACCTTTGTATATGTTATTTCATTAGCATTAAAATAATATGCATAGCATAATACAAAAATTAAGAAAAGGTATCTTAATCGAGCAGATGGAATAAACAAAAATAAAAATATTAAAGATTAAAAAGATCAGAGAATATAATTAAAAAAAAAAATAATAATTGAATTGAATGATATAGAATCTCAAATTAGAAACACTTATATTTATGACGCCAATTTTCGAATCAGAGCATTAAATATTTTGCGTATTATTCTTATATTCGCGAATTCATAAGAATAAATGATTTCGAAAACTAATACGTAGAAACATTTAATACTGATTCAAGTCCTTTAATACATTGTTCAAAAACAGTAAAAGGAATCATTTTAAATACATTGCCATATGTTACAGTAAAAATTCAAACCGAATAACAACCAATATTGGGTGCGGAAAAAAGACTAATGGTGAGATTGCAGAAACAAAATTAAAAAGTTATGGAATGGTGAGTAATAGCACGACAACTAAATGAGAAAGAAGAAAATTTGAAAAATCCTATAATTGTATCAATAAAGGCACAGTTATAAATGTCGAAGTACCCGGACTACGCTGTCGAGAATGGCTAAATTTATCGCAACTTGGGACACAGCCGACGACAAGGACTACGTACCGTGCGTCGCCGGCAACCATCGCCAGAGAGTCCAGGAGGAGTGTCACAATGCCCCGATAGCGGGCCATCAAGGAGTGAGGAAGACAACATCTTGACTAGAGCAGAGGTTCTATTTGCCAGGGATGTTCCAAAAATTTAAAGTGGAACAGGTGAGGCCATCCTATGCGCCGACTTCGTAGGCCTATTACCATGCTCGAAGCACGGGAATACAATGCTATTGGATCACGATGCGTTTAGTAGGTGAGTGGAATTGATTCCCTTGAGGAGGGCGACTACGTCCCGAGAAAGTTCTTATGAAGGACGTTCAAGGCCTTCCTAAGTTATATAGCCAACTCGACCGGATTTTCTCCCACTTTCTTAGTAGAAGGTCGCGAGTCTCGTCTCCCAGCAGCCTTAAACGACGAGATTACGCCCTGCTCCGCCACTGTATAGCAAACGCTAGGAACGTTTGAAGGAAGTATTAAATATTGTCCGCCACAACCTGCAGCGTGGTTATCAGGACCAGGGGAGGCACTACAATTTGCGACGAAGAGAATGGCGACCAAAGGTCAATAAGCAGGTGTCCGTCAGCTGTCTAAGGCCGCCGACGGATTCGCGCGAAATTTAGCACCGAACTTTGACGGCCCCTATCGGGTTGTGAAATTCATGTCGCCCAATATCGTGCGCTTGGCGCGCGACGGCAAAAGAAAGAGGCGGGTAGCCAACATCGCCCAACTGAAAGTCTACTACGGGCCAGGCGAAAAAGACCCCAGTGGAGTCGGTGGGCCGAGAGGCGACCACCCGGACGCAGAATAGGTTAAGAATTAGTGTAATGATAAACAGTTTAATTAATTATAAAATGAGTTTTTGTAAGCTGCACCATAGGAAGTTACATAAGCTAAGGAAATGTAATTATTAACGCCCCGAAAGATAACTATTACCACGAGACGAGAGCTGACGAATACCCGCCGTCAAGAAAGGGTGTGACGCAGGGTCACAACGACTATAAATTAGTTATATTATCCAACTATCTACTACCTACCTACCACCAACTACTGTACTACCTTCAGCCCAATCAGCTCCTACTCTGACTGTTGTTGCCCCTCGTAGGAAAGTTTTTGTGTCTCGACTTTCGTCTGACACCACTTGTGAGTCATTGGCAGCCTATATTGTTAGTAAATCTTTTGCTAGCGTGTCAATAACTAAATTTAATTTCTCCACCCCTCGTGATATAGCATCATTCAAAAATAATGTTTCACATGATTTAATCCTAATCATTTGTGATCCAAAATTTTGTCCTCCTCACATGATTGTACACGAGTTTAAGCAAAAAAAGCGAATCACCCTACCGGTCCCCTCGATACAAGGTACCGTTACTGCCCCAAAAACTAAATTCGTCTTCTTCGTCTAATTCTCACTTCCAAACTTATTTTCAGAAACATGGTTAAATTCAACCATATCTGATTTTGAAGTTTTTCAAAACATTTTTTTTTACATAGAAATTATCGGCTGACACGAGGTGGTCAGTCAGAACTTTTCTGTTTTGGTACGCCTACTGACGCTAAGATTGTCTCA